TATATGAAAAATAATCTTGTGAGTTCTCAACTGGCCTTTTTATCTTGATGCGAGTCCCATCAATGCATCCAAATGCCTGGGGCAATCCAAATTTTACTTCGAATTCGCCAACAATTTTTTGCATTTCACTTTTATCTTTTGGTACATGAATGTACTTTGGTCCAAGAATATATGACATATGGCTCAACAAACCTCGTAAATGACAAGTGACGCTGTATTTCTATCCCGAAGCTGTTGCCTGTCATACTTAACGAACCCTTGTCTTTCAAGTAGTATAATGTCAATGCGAGCTTATAGTTTCGGAATCAACAATGCCCTAAACTTTGGCGATAGAGGGTTTGGTTTTACGTGAGCGTCCATTTCATTTAGCGACATAATTGACTATTTACAACGTACTTAGCATTCTCTTAGACGGACAAAGATATCTATAGTAAAAATAACATAGATAAACCTTTCCCTAAATTATTTTTAACAGCAAGTTTTCTTCGCAATTTTCGCGGTACCAAGAGTAGCCTATTCAGTCGGATGAAGTTCGGTACTCGATCGTGAGATGCTCAGATTTGCATTCAGATTTAAAAAAGTAGCGGTGATTTGTTGGCGTCAGTATAGACCATAGTTTTAATATTAAGTTTTCAAAAATATAAATAATCATAAATTGCTCTATAATCAAAAATATCTTTGAGATGCATTTCCGAACTGCGATCGGAAATCTCCGATTGGATAGGCTGCTCTTGGTTAAAAATCAAACGATCACGTGACCGGTGTTTCAACCCTTCTATTAATTTATCTATTATTAATTATAGTATTACCTCATACGCGCCCTCATTACCTACCTGTTGAGGATTCTATAGTACTTCATAAAGATTTTTTTTGCACTTTCTCCATTCATATCGGCATTCTTGCGAAGAATTTATGCAAATCTTTTAAAGTAAGTTTATTATTTTGATCATTTTACACTTGTTACTGACAGTAGTTGAGCGCCTGTCTTTGAACAAGAAGAAAAAGGTGATATTATTAAGTTCCGCAAGTTCCGCAGGTTCCGCAGTTCCGTGGTCTGCAGTTCCGTTAATTAGTCGCACTCATCGGCGAAAGGTTTATGCGATCTGGTACTTGAAGCTTATAATAACTTGAAGCGAAATTTGGGGCGTAGGAACCGGGGGAGGGGGGCAAATATCATTCACTGAATGAAAATATTTTCACTATTGCACCGAATGAAAACATTCATTATTATTATATTATGACCCCAAAATACTGAAAACAGATCAATTTTGTCTAATTTTTAAGTGAATTAAATACAAAACAAATACATAAATAATTAAAATCCAACAAAAACGTGCCGATAAATGTTTTAATGAAGAATAGTACTCCGTCCACAAGTACTATTGCACGGTAGCAAAATGGGAATTGTAATTCCATATCACATGATCATAATCAGCCATTTAAGTGACCAAAATTTAATGAGGTGTTATATAAACACTAATAGCCGGTTGCTTGCTCAGCTAGCTACACTATCATTGTATATGCAAGGTTGAAATATATTTCTATGTGATACTACCATCAGTGGCGTAGCCAGCCCGACAATTTAGTCCCGCTATGCAAATTCAAAATTATTATCATTATTCATTCTTTGCTGATTGTTTTCACAGTCAATGAACACGAAAATAATTGCATAGCGGGACTAAATCGTCGGGCTGGCTACGCTACAGACTGCCATTGGCTTATCAAAATTGTCAGGTTTGAAAGTTAAAACACATTAATAGTTTTGAATAACGCTCGGTCTGACTGTACGTTGTATATTTGCGCAATTGTTCTTTTACAATCAATAAACATCGGCAAGAATCTTTACTATTTTTTTAGTTAGACATGTGTTGCACAGAAATATATCTGCCTATCATCAGGCAATACACACATGGTTAGTTTTGGTTACTTTAAACAAAATTATTGTGGGAAATAGCAGGATCGGAAATGCACTTTCCGGACGTGTAATTTTCAAAATGTTCTGGGGGGCATGCCCACCAGACCACCCTAGGAATTTACTTCATCTCAACACCAGTCCCCTTCTTCCTCCCTTCCCCAGTCCAAAAATCGCTGCGCGGTCGACTCTGCCAGTGGATCCAAATGCTCTGACATGACTACAGACTTGACTCTTAAAGCCTACGCCAAAGGGGTATCTGAACAACATTGATACTGTCTGTTAATATTTCGCTTGCGCTTCTTATAGTTTGTAGAAATTTTTATTTAAAAAAAATGTTACCATGGTTACCAGTAACTTTACCACATCAAACGAAATTAGTAAATTAAATATATAATAGTTCAATTGTCCGCTCAAAATATATTATGTTAACTTAAAATAGTTATATTAACTATAGTTGGTTCGGTTTGAAAATGCGAGGGGTTGCTGCATACATATATTTCTAGAATTAGAATAGAATTAACTTGAAGTTTGTAACCTACACAACCTCAAGGGCGCACCCAAACATAATATTGAAATATTTATCAAAAGTTAAATTATTAAAAGTCACACTCGTGAGAAAGTATCACAACATCTGTTAACATCACAAAGTGCGGATCACTGTGTCAAGATGAAGAACATAATTTTGCTGTGTTTGATTGTCATCATCTCCACTGCAGGTAATTAAGTTGTATGAAATCACACAACTTATGGTATTTTACATAAAAAAGAACAAGTTGGCAATTCCAAGTGGTTCGATCATTTCCTTAGGTTTACACAGGGCAAATAAGATTAATAATGTACATGGGACCTATGCGCAAAAGGAATGCTCATCCTCATATTAAGTAAAGTTATTCTCTCCGGTGCTGTAACCCTGCTAAGGTTTGTGTTATTAATTAGCCTTTCTCACGCCGCCATTTTTGGGTGGCATTTCAGCCGAAGTCTGCGAGATAAGTCCACATAACAGCGACTTTTTATAATTTTTTGGACAAATGATGGTAAATTTGCTTTGTAAATGGTTAGTTTATTTTGAAAAATTACTTTTCACATTGTTTTAATTGTCTGCATTGGTTAACGAGAATTAGATGCCACCCAAAAATGGCGGATAAGTTCGTCATCGCGTGAGAAAGGCTAATTGAGTGCTCTCGAACAATATCAGTTGCTGTTCGAGAGCAAAAGACCCTGTACGTCGAGGTCTAACATTTTTAAAAGATACTGGGTCCTAGAACGTTTGAAAAAAGAATAGACTTTTCACATCTGGCCGACTTATAGTATTGATTTCAGTGTTTTAATTAATTATCAGTATATCAGTTGCAAGTCCTAATTCAATATTCTTGATGTTTGCCATGGCAACAAAAAAGTTGTAAAGTGAAGATGCCAATACACAAATGAAGCTTGCACAGTATGTGTCTATGTGACTATAGTGCACATACAATTATGCATTTATTTTATGTATATATATAGATATAAATTATGCATGCATGCATAGCACACATATTGCCAATACCGCGGATTCTTCCTTTCGGTCGATATTTTCGCGTCAAAACATTCAGGAATGCGCCGTTATGCGACCACATTTCTAACGTCGTGAAATCAACATCAGAGATCTTACGATTTTAGGACGGCAACGCGACGACGACGGCCAAAACAAACTCCTTCAAATAAACCGTAGTAAAGATAATTCGTCGTATATTATCAATCGTATCAATTTAATCAAGTCTTAGGAGTTGAAGACATCATGGGTTTTATGGTTGGGAAGAGTTCTGCTGAACCCAGTTTGACTTTGAAGTTACACTTGTGTCTAGCTTGTTGTGGCTTGAAATTCAGCCGTTGTAACAAGTCGTGAAAATCATTCTGTGATTTGGCGTTGTAAACAGAGGGAGGACAATGTCTAAATTATTTATATATTGTAATTACTCAATTCTTTTCAATGATTTATTGTATTGGTAGCCGTTGCCGTCCTAAATCGTAAGGTCTCCATCGTGGGAATGGCAACGGCTGATTGGTCCGCAAGAAATCATGTCGGCATAGTTTTAACACGAATATGCGTAAAAATGTAGTCGCATTGCTGAAACCATCACACGTTTCCCTTTCGAGTCAATTCATGCTCTCGATTAAGACCTATCTCACTAACAAACATAGTAATGAGACTATTTGAGAGACGTGTGTAAATCTGATTTCTTTTTTCTTTTTCCCTCTTCAATTATAATGAGTTTTTCAAATTTATAGATGTATATCTTCCTTATCTTCCTTCAATTTCAGCCCCCCCCCCCCCAGATTTGGTTTACCAGAATTGCAATCCTCCCATCTTTCATCTGGAAAAATCTCGGGTCCCCCACTTTTCTCACCCATCCCCCCCCTCCCCTCCCATAAATAATGAACGGTCCCTAATTTTTGACATTAATTTTCAATTAATACCTGTGAAAAACTGTTTTATATAGTTTTCAAAAAAATCAGATGTACAGCAGTTTGACGTATTTGAACTTCGCAATAAATTCACTTCGGACAGTTGGAACCCTAATTTTTTTCGTGCACAATACTAATCGGTAATGCCATTAATTTTATTTAAAAAGGCAAATATGTCGTTTTCTATAGAGACTATAGAATTGGCTTGATATATCAATCAAAACAAAATCACTTATATGCCAGGGACCGGTTGCATAAAAATGTAGTTAATTAAAGTTAACTAATCAGAATTGCGCATTTGAAAGTTAACTATTATTTAACTACAAAACGGGTAGCTAAACCGTAGTTAAGCCTTTTATACAACCGGCCCCAGAATTGCGAAAGCCATTGAAATGAACGCTAACCTCCAACCAGAAATTTGAAGCCAAACTTCAAGGCCAGTCCCAGTCTTTTCACGCATGAAAAGAGCGCTCAAACAGCCAATGGTGATATAAACACTCATGACTTGACCCCCATAGCCATCTCTGCAGCCATCGCCTTTAGACTGGCGGACAGAACCCTACTACTCATGCTTGGTGCAGGCCTTGAAAGTGCATGTTTTCGTTTTCCTTTTTTATATTTACGTCTTATATTTCCTCTATAGCAAACGCCAACAAGGATAGGCCACATGTTTGCGGCAATGTGTTTTGGGATCCTTTATACGATATATGTTGTGACGGTAAGGCGTACGAACAACGTTATGGAGCTAACAGTAGTTGCTGTGGCAAGAAAATCTACAATGCTGAAAGTTTTGTTTGCTGTCTCGGATCCATATTTCGTAAAGGGTGTACAGGTGTAACTCAGTGTTGTGGCCGAACAGCGTACGATACTGAGAAAGAAATATGCTGTGATTCACGATATGTTCGGTTAAGATCTGGTCCATCAACTCACTGCTGTGGAAAAAACACTTACAATACTGACACTTCTGTCTGTTGTGCTGGCACAGTGGTAGATCAAGTAGCGGGCAAAGTAACTCAATGCTGTGGGGGGAAAAGCTACGACCCAAAACATTCACTCTGTTGCCATGAAAAAATTGTCAATATCCTAGTCAATAGTAGTCAGTGTTGTGGAGAAACATCATATAACCCTATAACTTCGGTCTGTTGTAACGGACAGTCAGCGGCAAAACTCTCCAATAACTTAACAATGTGTTGCGGCAAGGAAAGCTACGATCCAGCGATGTATCTCTGCTGTGAAGGCAAAGTTGTGAAAAAATTAAGCAATATTAGTCTGTGTTGTGGGAATAAATCATATAACCCTATAACCTCGATCTGTTGCGCGGGACACTCAGTGGTAAAAATAGCTGGTAACCTAACCCAATGTTGCAATAATCATGGCCACCATCCAGCGATATCTCTCTGTTGTGAAAACAAAGTTGTTAAGAAAATGAGCAATGTTGATCAATGTTGTGGAAAAACATCGTATAACGTCAAAACCTCGGTCTGCTGTAACGGAAAGACCTCAACGAAACTTGAAGGTAACTTTACAATGTGTTGCAGCACGGAAAGCTACGATCCAGTGAAGTCTCTTTGTTGTAAAGGTAAACTTTTTCAGAAAACGAGCAATGTTAGTCAGTGTTGTGGTGATAGGTCATATAACCCTGAGACCACGATCTGCTGCGCTGGACAACCTGTGATAAGAATGGCTGGTGAAATTACCCAATGTTGCGGAAAGGAGAGTTACAACCCTCGCGATTCACTTTGTTGTAACAAGAAGGCGGTTCCGAGAAGATATGGTGACTCTACTCAGTGTTGTGGGAGCCGTCACTACAACCCTACAATTCATGTTTGCTGCAACGGTTATGTTACGCGAAAACAAGTTGGGAACACTATACAATGTTGCGGGAGAAAAAGTTACGACACCCAAAAATATGTTTGTTGCCAAAGAAAAGTGTGGTCGAAAATATTCGGAAAAGAAACCAAGTGCTGTGGCAGCAAACGTTACAATGCCAAGCTAGTCAGCGGCGGAGTAGTGGAAGGTAGGAAACTACTTTGTTGTGACAACAGATTATACTACAGTTCTGGGTTCTGTTGCAAAGGGAAAATAATAAAGCAAGGAACTACCTGTCGCAAAACAACCGGACGTTTGCATGCTTATAATTAATTAATGAACATTTATTTTTCCTGAACTCGATCTATAGATATATATCCTCCGTAGACTTCGAATCATACATATAAGACGGGTAGTATACTAATGATAAAAATGTTAAAAATGTTAAAAAAGGTACTTTATCAGGATAAACTGCAAATAACTTTGATTGAACTTAATTAACTGCTGGGTGTAATGTTTTAATTGAGAATTACTGTATGTAATTGAATTTTTATTAAAACATATTTCAATGCACGCGTCTCGATTTTTAATTGGTCCGATTTATACTATAGAGGAGCACCACGATGGCACGATCAAACTTCAAGCGCATGCGCGAGTGTACGACAAGAAGTCATACTGATAATGGGATTACACTATACCGGGATTGATTTTCATACCGGATTAATTTTCACTCCGAAATAAAAAACAAGGATATTTACACTATGCATGCCGCTTCGCTCTGTTGCCAGCTCATGTCTCGCTGTCGCCATGGAAACAGGTAATACTTTTTGAAAGTATACTAAAATTTCGGCAGTTTAAAAACAAGAAGTAAAACACGTTTTCTTTGTAAAGTATAACTTTGTTTAACTGAAAACTTGACTACCAGACGTTGCCTCGTTTCGCTCTAGTCCAAAATTGACAAGTATTTGCCCTATCGAAAGCGAAAAGTCAATTGTTAGTATCGTTTTAGGTATTTGTCTTCGCCAGAAATAGTAAATGATTTAAGGCGAAACAAACGACAGCCCTAAAATATTGTAAAATTAAAGCGAGCAAATAAAGGCGACAATGTAAAATCCAAAACGCCAAAACAGATTTTGTACCGAAGCGTACCGGGTTGGCTTGCTTACACTGCTTCGGCACATACCGGATTACTTTTCATATCACCTCCAAAGCGAAGTGCATGATTTTCGCGCCGCGGCACGTACCTGATTATAGTGGCGTAGTGTAAACAAGAGCCCAATTCCGGTAAATGTACAGAAATTGCGTCGCTTCGATGCAATCCGGTATAGTGTAATTGGGGCCTGAGTTTACACTCTCGTAATTTTCTTTACAGACAATACTACTTCCAGTCTTTCCAATACAAGTAGTCGATACGCGGACGTTTGACCACGGTGTTCTATGGAGGCAGATAATTCTTCTAGCGAAATTTCGGGTAAAGAGAACATATAGTTCGTTTGATTATTCGTCTGTATATAAACGTCATAGAAATTATAAATAACACTAGAGGAGGCATCGTAATTTTATTTCAGTCAAAGAAAGGGAACGCGGCTATTGCAGGGGGAATGCTAATTAATAAGAGCGTGTTTGAGCCAAAATCTCTAAATCAGTTCTTGTTTATATAGCAGTTAAGTAGTCCCATTTTGATTTTTACCAAGCATTTGTACCTCAATTTTGTCTATAAACACATTGCTAATTTACTAATTTACTAATATGTCTATCTTAGTTTACTAATATACACTCATTAATGTACATACTATTAACACTTTTTATCTAATTTACTAATATATGTCTATCTTAGTTTACTAATATACACTCATTAATGTACATACTATTAACACTTTTTATCTACTAATCCTTTCTAAGGGGGTTCTTATATAGGGTTAACCTTCCGATCCTCCTGCAAGGACCTACAATCAGGAGCAAAAATTATTGAGACAAACGCATAAATGCCCCCCGCACCCCCAATTCAATGTTGTGTGGATGACTGAACGGAGAAAATTCAACCCGCTTTTTCCAACATTGATCATGGGGGGAGGGGGGGAGGCCGACGTACTTGGAAATGGCCAAAAACGTGAAAAGTCTCATTATTTTTGCTCCTGATTGTCTGAGATGGAGCTGTTTGTGGGTTTGCTGAGATGGAGCTGTTTGGGGGTTTGAAATTTTGCCATACTCTAACGATCATGTTGACATGAAATTGACATATTTCAATCAATTAATCGAAAGTTTTTTGTCCCCCAAAAAGTAGAAATTCTGCAAGGAGGCCTGGCGGGGGACTGGGCAAGAATAAAGAAGCTTTTCTGACGAGTTTAATTTTTGTACTGTCATTACTTACTAGAGAAAAGTCTTTGGGAAAATAGACAGCTGTAGGCTAAGTACGATCTATTAAAATACTTGGCGATATAGTAAGACATCTCCAATAAGCCACAAAAATCTAATGTAGTGTTTTTAACTTCTTTTACGTCCTTTCAAGCTCAATTAACCATCGTTTGCTGACGAGGGGGTCAGTGTATTACAGTTTCTCAACTTAGCCATATGACGAAAAATCCGAAAACTCTTACATTTATACTGCCAAATGGCCAAAAACGTGAAAAGTCTCATTATTTTTGCTCCTGATTGTCTGAGATGGAGCTGTTTGTGGGTTTGCTGAGATGGAGCTGTTTGGGGGTTTGAAATTTTGCCATACTCTAACGATCATGTTGACATGAAATTGACATATTTCAATCAATTAATCGAAAGTTTTTTGTCCCCCAAAAAGTAGAAATTCTGCAAGGAGGCCTGGCGGGGGACTGGGCAAGAATAAAGAAGCTTTTCTGACGAGTTTAATTTTTGTACTGTCATTACTTACTAGAGAAAAGTCTTTGGGAAAATAGACAAGCTGTAGGCTAAGTACAATCTATTAAAGTACTTGGCGATATAGTAAGACATATCCAATAAGCCACAAAAATCTAATGTAGTGTTTTTAACTTCTTTTACGTCCTTTCAAGCTCAATTAGCCATCATTTCCTGAGGAGGGAGTCATTGTATTACAGTTTCTCAGCTTAGCCATATGACGAAAAATAAGAAAACTTTGTCATTTATACTGCTGTATGTGCTGTTGTGCTTGTGGGATGTTCACCAGCTAATCTAAAGTGATTAGCTTATTATGTAAATTTTATATGCACTTGTGTTCATTAAGCAAACGCTGACACGATACACACACGTTACACTACACGTTACACCTACTTTACATAATAATCTATAGTAAATATATAGAAATATGACACGTTACACACGTTACACCCATTTTTATAAAAATAAATATATATATTTATTTTTAAAAACAATGGGTGTAACGTGTCATATCTCTACATGTTTTACTACAAATTATTATGTAACGTGTGGTGTAACGTGTGGTGTAACGTGTGTGTAACGTGTCTACATTCAGTACGTAAAAATAGATTGAGATTTTGCGCAAGTGCGACCAGATTTGCTTGAACTCATCTCACATAATCCCAAAATCATGGGAGATGGAAGTTTGCAATAAATTCTAGTGCAAGTTTACGATGGGTAAGTCCGTTTATCAAGATAAAGAAAAAGCTTCAATTGGGTTTAAAATTTAGTGAGTATGTCAATCTCACGCAACAATTCAGCTAAACGTAGGAAAATTATTGAAATTTTTCCAAAATAGGTCTGAACGAGGCGTTGTCTGTTATAAAATTCTTGAAATTAAAGGAAATGTTCTGTTTGAGAGAAAAAATATACTCATGATTGTCAGCCATGGGGAAAAATTGTCTGAAATTTATTTATTATTTTATAATCTTCTTCCATGTATATATTCGTCAATTAATCGTCCTTTCGAAACAAAAATAGCTATAGTTCTGAAGATCACCTATATTTTTTACATGAAGTACTCAATGATAGAAAACCGCTGGGAAAAAAATATCATATAGCAAAAGGTTCATTAAGCAAGAAATCCAAGTCAGCGTCTTTTCTGGAGCAATAATTTGAACGAACATTAACGAGTTACGTTTCCTTCAAAAGTACATATAGAGACAATCACGAGCAAAAATTATTGAGACAAACGCATAAATGCCCCCCGCAACCCCAATTCAATGTTGTGTGGATGACTGAAAAGAGAAAATTCAACCCACTTTTTCCAACATTGATCATGGGGGGAGGGGGGAGGCCGACGTACTGGAAAATGGCCAAAAACGTGAAAAGTCTCATTATTTTTGCTCCTGATTGTAGCTATTCAAAAACAGCATTGACACTCAAGAAAAGGTCAGAATGAACCTCCACTCATTGAGTGTAAGTGTGAGTGTGCTTTTAAAGCCCGTTTATACGGGCGATTTTTGCTGCGATTTTAGTTGCGATTTTCTCCTTTTGGAGGATATGAAGGAGTAGATTACTTAATGACGTTGTTATGAAATTTCATAACCTGGAACATTTATAACTCATCCTCTCCTTCACATCCATCAGATGAAGAAAATCGCCCTAAAATCGCAGCAAAAATCGCCCGTGTAAACGGGCCTTTAGAATACAGGCGTGAGATTTGGATGAAGGGCCTTCACCAATTTACAAAAAAACAATTATATTTTCAGTCTTTTTTATTTATGGTAACTAACCACAAACTGGCCCAATCTGAAATGACGCTAAGATCACCGATAGGTGTGCTTGATGTTGTCTACTGGTGTAATAACTTCATCCATCAAGAGAGAGTCATCCGCAAATAAAAACCATGTTGAAGAAATATTGGTCAGAAAATCATTAATATATTTTGAAAATAACAAGGTTCCTAGAACAGACCCTTGAGGGACCCCTGTCTCAATCCTTGTTCAATCAGAACTTTCCCCTTCAATAGTGATACGCTGGTTTGATCTTGTAAATAGCTTTCAAACCATTGTAATAAAGGTCCATTAATTTCAACACTTTGTAACTTAGCAAGAAGGCCCCTGTGCCGGACTTGGAAATATCTGGGAACGCAGCACGTATTTCATGACCATTTTCAAAAGCTTGGTATATTTTACGAATGATATATATATTATAAATAATTATAAATGTTCTGTGAAGTGCACATATTTTTTCTGCAGTTAGGAACCAGTCCCTATTTATGGAAGAGGGAGGGGGAAGGGCAAAAGGTGGGCCATGAGTATAAATAAATGACTAGAAGGGGGGAGGGGGCTATTAAAT